AGGCCAGTGGAGGGATTGGCAGAGAGGGATGGAGGACACTGAATGGAGGCCAGTGGAGGGATTGGCAGATAGGGGTGAAGGACACTGACTGGAGGCCACTGGAGGGATTGGCAGAGAGGGGTGGAGGACACTGAATGGAGGCCAGTGGAGGGATTGGCACAGAGGGGTGGAGGACACTGAATGGAGGCCAGTGGAGGGATTGGCAGAGAGGGGTGGAGGACACTGAATGGAGGCCAGTGGAGGGATTGGCAGAGAGGGGTGGAGGACACTGAATAGAGACCAGTGGAGGGATTGGCAGAGAGGGGTGGCAGATACAGAACGGTTGGTAAGGTGGATGAGCCTGGCAGCAACATTCATGGTGGACTGGAGGGGGTGTGGCCTATGTAAAGGTCATCCAATGAGGAGGGAGTTGCAGTAGTCGAGGCGAGAGATAACCAGGGAGTGAATTAGGAGCTTTGTGGTATAATTGGTTAAAAAGGGGCGTATTCTGGAGATGTTGAGGTGGAATGATTTGGACAGGGATTGGATGTAGGCCTGAAAGGATAGTTCAGGATCCAGAGTTACCCCTGGCACACTGGTCTCAGGGATGGGTTGATGGTGCTATTGCTCCTGACCAAGAAATCGGGGGAAGAGGCACGTGGGGGAGCTGTTTTGGATAGATTGAGATTGAGGAAGTGGTGTGACATCCGGTCTGATATGTCTGTTAGTAAATCGGTGATATGTGAGGAAACTGATGGGGTGAGCTGAGGAGTAGAGAGATTTGTGTGTCATCAGCATAGAAATGGTGATTGGAAACCATGTGAAGCTATCAGCTGACCCAAAGGAAGATGTGTAGATGGAGAATAGGAGAGGTCCAAGGACAGAACCTTGGGGGACCCCGACAGTAAGAGGAGGAGGACAGGAGAAAGTAGAGTTGTAAGTGATACTGAAGGTGCGGTGAGATAAATAAGATTCAAACCAATGGAGAGTACAGTCATGGAGACCAAGTATATAGAGTTTTTTGAGGAGGAGGGGGTGGTTAACTGTGTCAAAGGCAGTGCAGAGGTCCAAGAGCAGGAGTACGGAATAGTGACCATTGGTTTTAGTGGTTAGTAAGTCGTTTGTGAGTTTTAGGAGAACAGTTTCTGTGGAGTGTTGTGGGCAAAATCCAGACTGAAGGGGATCAAGAAGCAGCTAAGAACCTTTTCGGACTTGTAGTCAGGGGCGTATTCACCACAAGGCCAGCAAGGTGTTTGCCTGGGGCGGTATTATTCAGGGGTGGTGGAAGAACAGACAGAAGAAGAGACACGAGGCATGGGGTCCAGGTAGGGTCCGTGAGAGATTGCGGGGTGCATGACTGTGTATGCAGAGCCTGATTCTCGTTCCCAGGGATCTCTGGAGCTGTGAAGGTGAATGTGTCTCTCTTGCTGGAAAGGGGGTGTAATGGTGGTGAGTGTATGGGGGCGGTGGGAGCCTTCGATTTTCGTGTTGCCTAGGGCAGCACAAAGCCTAAATACACCGCTGCTTGTAGTTCTGTATGGCTGTGTGCTGTTATCAGGACACTAGGACTGCTGGGACTTGTAGTTCTGTACTAGCTGTGTGCTGTTATCAGGACACTAGGACTGCTGGGACTTGTAGTTCTGTACTAGCTGTGTGCTGTTATCTGCACACTAGGACTGCTGGGACTTGTAGTTAGGTGTCGTCTGTGTCCTGCTATCTGGACACTGGGACTGCTGGGACTTGTAGTTCTGTACTAGCTGTGTGCTGTTATCTGGACACTGGGACTGCTGGGACTTGTAGTTCTGTACTAGCTGTGTGCTGTTATCTGCACACTAGGACTGCTGGGACTTGTAGTTAGGTGTCGTCTGTGTCCTGCTATCTGGACACTGGGACTGCTGGGACTTGTAGTTCTGTACTAGCTGTGTGCTGTTATCTGGACACTGGGACTGCTGGGACTTGTAGTTCTGTACTAGCTGTGTGCTGTTATCTGGACACTGGGACTGCTGGGACTTGTAGTTCTGTACTAGCTGTGTGCTGTTATCTGCACACTAGGACTGCTGGGACTTGTAGTTAGGTGTCGTCTGTGTCCTGCTATCTGGACACTGGGACTGCTGGGACTTGTAGTTCTGTACTAGCTGTGTGCTGTTATCTACACACTGGGACTGCTGGGACTTGTAGTTAGATGTCGTCTGTGTGCTGCTATCTGGACATGGGACTGCTGGGACTTGTAGTTACGTGTCGTCTGCATCCTGCTATCTGGACACTGGGACTGCTGGGACTTGTAGTTAGGTATTGTCTGCATCCTGCTATCTGGACAATGGGACTGCTGGGACTTGTAGTTAGGTGTTGTCTGCGTGCTGCTATCTGGACACTGGGACTGCTGGGACTTGTAGTTAGGTGTTGTCTGCGTGCTGCTATCTGGACACTGGGACTGCTGGGACTTGTAGTTAGGTATTGTCTGCATCCTGCTATCTGCACACTGGGACTGCTGGGACTTGTAGTTACATATTGTCTGTGTCCTGCACACTGGGACTGCTGGGACTTGTAGTTACATATTGTTTGTGTCCTGCACACTGGGACTGCTGGGACTTGTAGTTACATGTAGTCTGTGTCCTGCACACTGGGACTGCTGGGACTTGTAGTTACGTGTCGTCTGTGTCCTGCACACTGGGACTGCTGGGACTTGTAGTTACGTGTCGTCTGTGTCCTGCACACTGGGACTGCCGGGACTTGTAGTTACATATTGTCTGTGTCCTGCACACTGGGACTGCTGGGACTTGTAGTTATGTGTCGTCTGTGTCCTGCACACTGGGACTGCTGGGACTTGTAGTTATGTGTCGTCTGTGTCCTGCACACTGGGACTGCTGGGACTTGTAGTTACATTGTCTGTGTCCTACACACTGGGACTGCTGGGACTTGTAGTTATGTGTCGTCTGTGTCCTGCACACTGGGACTGCTGGGACTTGTAGTTATGTGTCGTCTGTGTCCTGCACACTGGGACTGCTGGGGACCTGTAGTTACGTGTCGTCTGTGTCCTGCACACTGGGACTGCTGGGACTTGTAGTTACGTGTCGTCTGTGTCCTGCACACTGGGACTGCTGGGACTTGTAGTTACATATTGTCTGTATCCTGCACACTGGGACTGCTGGGACTTGTAGTTACATTGTCTGTGTCCTGCACACTGGGACTGCTGGGACTTGTAGTTACGTGTCATCTGTGTCCTGCACACTGGGACTGCTGGGACTTGTAGTTACGTGTCGTCTGTGTCCTGCACACTGGGACTGCTGGGACTTGTAGTTACGTGTGTCTGTGTCCTGCACACTGGGACTGCTGGGACTTGTAGTTACGTGTCGTCTGTGTCCTGCACACTGGGACTGCTGGGACTTGTAGTTACGTGTCGTCTGTGTCCTGCACACTGGGACTGCTGGCACTTGTAGTTACGTGTCGTCTGTGTCCTGCACACTGGGACTGCTGGGACTTGTAGTTACGTGTCGTCTGTGTCCTGCACACTGGGACTGCTGGGACTTGTAGTTACGTGTCGTCTGTGTCCTGCACACTGGGACTGCTGGGACTTGTAGTTACGTGTCGTCTGTGTCCTGCACACTGGGACTGCTGGGGGTTCGGCTGAAGACGTATCAATCAGAAATGTTTCCTATTTGTTACATTGTGTCTTTTCGTTGTTCTCTGCATTACCTGGTGTCTCATGGCTCCTCGCTGACCATCTCAGGGGCTCCTCTGTGTGTTGCTTTGCTGACGGGACGAAGTGCTCGGCGTGGTGCATGGAGGGTGCTTGGAGAGTACATGGAGGGGGAACATGCGTCGTTTTATAGGGAAAGGGAAATCCTAAGGGACTCATTATTAGGAGAGCCGAGGGCAGACCTGGAACTTCAGGGAATTCTCGGTTTTTGTTGACAAACAAATCATTAAGCAGCTAAAACTCCCAAATGCGATTGTCCAGCTACAGAAAGGGGAAGTGGCCGCTTCAGCTGTGGGACCTGTACAGTCCTCATGGACCGAGGACACTTCACATGTCCAGGGTTTGGCAATGACTTTATCATTACCTAAGATAACAAATAATATTTACATCAACCCCTCCCCCACCCAGGCCGCTGGGATACGCAGATTCCTTCCCCAAAGTTAGTGCAAAATACAGCCAGGGACACAGCATTTTCTCTCTCTTTGGCTCAATAACAGTCTAGGGCCGGGTGGGCAACCAGACCTTGAAAGAGGCCCCCCAGCAATGCTACAGCTGGGACCTTGATGACCCTCAAGTGGTGTTCCAGCAGACTTCCTTTATTATTATTATTATTATTATACAGTATTTATAAAGCGCCGATAGTTCGCTCAGCGCTGTACATTACAAAGGGGGACAGAACATGTGACAGAACAATACCAATACAATGCAAAACATGAGGGGATCGAGGGCCCTGCTCCTAGGAGCTTACAATCTAGGAGGGAGGAGAAGGTGGTACAGGAGATAGCTGTGGGGGATGGAGTGGTAGGAAGAGTGGAGGAGGTCGGCAAGTTAGCAGGGGGTGGGGTAGGCTTCCCTGAAGAGGTGGGTTTTCAGGGTGCGCCTAAAGGAGAGGAGAGTAGGTGATAATCTGATGGGTTGGGGTAGGGAGTTCCAGAGGATGGGTGACACCCTGGAGAAGTCCTGGAGGCGGGCATGGGAGGAGGAGACCAGGGAACTAGAGAGAAGGAGGTCTTGTGAGGAGCGGAGTGTGCGTGTTGGGCGGTACTTGGATATTAGGTCAGTGATGTAGTTCGGGGCAGTATGGTGGACAGCTTTGTACATCAGTGTTAGGATTATGAATTTGATCCGTTGGGCAATCGGAAGCCAGTGGAGGGATTGGCAGAGGGGGGTGGAGGACACTGAGTGGAGGCCAGTGGAGGGATTGGCAGAGAGGGGTGGAGGACACTGAGTGGAGGCCAGTGGAGGGATTGGCAGAGGGGGGTGGAGGACACTGAGTGGAGGCCAGTGGAGGGATTGTCAGAGGGGGGTGGAGGACACTGAGTGGAGGCCAGTGGCGGGATTGGCAGAGGGGGGTGGCGGAGATGGAGTGGTTGGAATGGTGAATGAGTCTGGCAGCCGTATTCAGGATGGACTGAAGCGGGGATAGCCAGCGGCGAGGCAGGCCAGTGAGGAGGGAGTTGCAGTAGTCAAGTCGTGATATGATGAGGGAGTGGATGAGTTGTTTAGTGGTTTCTGGGGTTAGGAATGTGCGGATTTTGGCGATGTTGCGGAGGTGGAGTCTGCATGTTGCGGAGGTGGAGTCTGCATGTTGCGGAGGTGGAGTCTGCATGTTGCGGAGGTGGAGTCTGCACGAGTTTGTTAAAGATTGGACTTGGGGCTGGAAGGATAGATTGGAGTCCAGAATGACACCCAGTACTCTGGCCTGCGGGGCGGGTTTGATGGTGGTGTTGTTGGATGTGATGGAGAAGTCAATGGGGGGTGGTGTCCGGGCTGGGGGGAAGACCAGGAGCTCGGTTTTGGAGAGGTTCAGTTTAAGGAAGTGGAGTGACATCCAGTCTGATATGTCGCTCAGTAGGTGTGTGATTCGGGCGGAGACCGAGGGGGTGAGCAGTCACAGATGGGTCAAAGGTATTACAATCCTTACTGAACCAGACGAACTTCTATCCATCCATGGACAGTGTATGACACATGCTTAGATAAGGGAAGATGATTGGTCCCCCAGGTCATGGACCTCTCTGGGATCAAGTGATTGTTACAACCAGGGGCGGACTGACAACTGATGGGGCCCCCGGGCAATAGGGGATCATGGGGCCCCTGTTTCCTTACCCACACTCAAAGCACACCCAAAAAAGCCTATAAAAAAGGTACCAGGGGCCTTTCATGGGGCCCCCTACTGACCCCAGGCCCTCGGGCAGTGCCCAAGTGCTCGAATGGTCAGTCCACCCCTGGGTACAACATGAGCTGAACTCCGGGCAGATATAAAGGATAAAAATGAATTTATATATATATATATATTTTGAATACAAGTAGCTGAAGTACCTGAATTTGACCCGGTATTAGATACAGAGGTACGGGAGAACAGAGGACACTGTGGGGGGGATGTAAAGGGGGGCAAATGAGGACACTGCTATGGGGACATAAAGGGGGCACAGAAGGGACACTACTGTGGGGAAGAGGGGGGATAAAGTGGGAAAGAGGAAGAGACTGCTGTCGGGGGTAAAAAGGGCAGAGGAGGATACTGTTGGGGGGATGCAGGGGGCAGAGGAGGACACTGCTCTGGGGAGGTAAAGGGGGGCAGAGGAGGAGGATACTGTTGGGGGGATGCAGGGGGGCAGAGGAGGACACTGCTCTGGGGAGGTAAAGGGGGGCAGAGGAGGACACTGCTCTGGGGAGGTAAAGGGGGGCAGAGGAGGACACTGCTCTGGGGAGGTAAAGGGGGGCAGAGGAGGACACTGCTCTGGGGAGGTAAAGGGGGGCAGAGGAGGACACTGCTCTGGGGAGGTAAAGGAGGGCAGAGGAGGACACTGCTCTGGGGAGGTAAAGGGGGCAGAGGAGGACACTGCTCTGGGGAGGTAAAGGGGGGCAGAGGAGGACACTGCTCTGGGGAGGTAAAGGAGGGCAGAGGAGGACACTGCTCTGGGGAGGTAAAGGGGGGGCAAAGGAGGACACTGCTCTGGGGAGGTAAAGGAGGGCAGAGGAGGACACTGCTCTGGGGAGGTAAAGGGGGGCAGAGGAGGACACTGCTCTGGGGAGGTAAAGGGGGGCAGAGGAGGACACTGCTCTGGGGAGGTAAAGGAGGGCAGAGGAGGACACTGCTCTGGGGAGGTAAAGGGGGGCAGAGGAGGACACTGCTCTGGGGAGGTAAAGGGGGGGCAAAGGAGGACACTGCTCTGGGGAGGTAAAGGAGGGCAGAGGAGGACACTGCTCTGGGGAGGTAAAGGGGGGCAGAGGAGGACACTGCTCTGGGGAGGTAAAGGGGGCAGAGGAGGACACTGCTCTGGGGAGGTAAAGGGGGGCAGAGGAGGACACTGCTCTGGGGAGGTAAAGGGGGGCAGAGGAGGACACTGCTCTGGGGGTAAAGGAGGGCAGAGGAGGACACTGCTCTGGGGAGGTAAAGGGGGGCAGAGGAGGACACTGCTCTGGGGAGGTAAAGGGGGGCAAAGGAGGACACTGCTCTGGGGAGGTAAAGGAGGGCAGAGGAGGACACTGCTCTGGGGAGGTAAAGGGGGGCAGAGGAGGACACACTGTTGTGGAGTGGTGGGCTGCAAGGAATTGGCTCAACGTTCCTTTCCAGATACAATGACCCCCGTCTGTCCCTGGCTTGATCAGTGACTGCCCTTCAGATCTGGAGTTCACTCCGAGACACAGGAAATAGACGCAGACACAAGGTGGTATCTCAGAATGAACTAAATTTATTCTTCCGTGTTTAAACTTATATATGAAACTTCAAACAATGCATAAAATATAGAAACCAATCAATTCTCAGATATGCATAAGCCAATCAAATGTTACATACGTCAGTCATGCCTAATCATTTGGCATATATGTAAATTATTATTAAATGCGTCAAATATGAACTTTTGTTCAGGACAGAAAGTAGACAATTTCCCTATTTAACATTGGCTATAGTTATTTATAATCTTGCGACAGGATATATTCAACCGCAGACTATCACCTGGATACTGGCTACCAGAAATAAGGGAAGTTAGAGCAGGTGGAAAAAGAGGAACTTTAAACTCCTGTCAAAAGTTCAGTTTAAAACAAAAATCAATCCTTTTAAAATACTGACACAAGTTTAAGATGGATACTCATTCTAAGATGGCAGAACTTAGGCTAATCAGAGAACAAAATGGCGGCACATCAAACTAAAAGGCTAATCCCTTCAAACCCCTTCTTAGGTCACACACATGACCTTACACCTTAATCACAGGTTGGTACCTGGGGCCCTTAGTAGGTCTTTTGCCAAAACACTGATTCCATATAGGTTTAGTAATGGCGGCGTCAATAAGCTTCTGCAATAAACTTCGGATAACAGCAACCACACAGAGTTAATACTGCAGCAGCCATTACTATAGAAATGAACATATTTCTCATCTGGGTTCCCCATTTACCAAACCAGGTTTCAAATAAACTGACCAGTGGATTTTCTACTCCTGAGCTTTCAGCCAATTCTTCAGACAACATTTGGAGGCCTTGAAGGGCTCTAGTAATGCTTCCATCAGGAGCGGTGTTATTGGGGATAAAAGTACAGCAGTAAGAGTTAAACATTTTACAGTGGGGTAAAGGGGGGCAGAGGAGGACACTGTTGCGGGGGGGGGGGGGTAAAGGGGGGCAGAGGACGACAATGTTGTGTGTGGGGGGGGGGGGGGGGTAAAGGGGGCAGAGAACACTGCTGTGGGGGGGTAAAGGGGGGCAGAGGAGGACATTGTTGGGGATAAAGAGGGGGAGAGGTGGAGACTGCAGTGGGGGGTAAAGGGGGGCAGAGGAGGACATTGATGGGAATAAAGGGAGGCAAAGGAGGAATCTGCTGGGGGGGGGGGGGGGGGGAGTAAAGGGGAGCAGAGGAGGACACTGTTGTGGAGTGGTGGGGTAAAGAGGGGCAGAGGAGGACACTGTTTTGGGGGGGTGGTAAAGGGGGGCAGAGGAGGACACTGCTGTGGGGGGGGGGGGGGGTTAAAGGGGGCAGAGAACACTGCTGTGGGGGGTAAAGGGGGGCAGAGGAGGACATTGTTGGGGATAAAGAGGGGCAGTGGAGGACACTGCTGTGGGGGGTAAAGGGGGGGCAGAGGAGGACATTGTTGGGGATAAAGAGGGGCAAAGGTGGAGACTGCAGTGGGGGGGGGTAAAGGGGGGCAGAGGAGGACATTGATGGGAATAAAGGGAGGCAGAGGAGGAATCTGCTGTGGGTGGTTAAATAGTCGCATTGTAGAAACACTGCTGTGGGGGGGGGGGGGGGGGTAAGGTAAGGGGGGTAGTGGAGGACACTGTTGTGGGGGGGTAAGGGGGGGCAGTGGGAGGACACTGCTGTGGGGGGTAAAGAGGAGCATAGAAGATACTGCTGGGGGGGGGTAAGGGGGCAGAGGAGGACACTGTTGTGGGGGGGGGGGTAAGGGGGGCAGAGGAGGACACTGCTGTGGGGGGGGATAAAGGAGAGCAGAGGAAGACACTGCTGTGGGGGGTAAAGAGGAGCAGAGGAGGACACTACTGTGGGGGGGTAAGGGGGCAGAGGAGGACACTACTGTGGGGGGGTAAGGGGGCAGAGGAGGACACTGCTGTGAGGGGAGGGGGGTAAAGGAGAGCAGAGGAGGACACCGCTGTGGGGGGTAAAGGGGGGACAGAAGAGGACACTGATAGGAGGGGGGGCAAAAGGAGGTAGAGGAGAGAGGAAAACATTGCTGGGGGGGGGGGGGGGGGGGTTAAAGGGGAGCAGAGAAGGACACTGCTGTAGTGGGGGGGGGGACTTTTCTGATTGGACCTCTGTGAATCTGAGCCTTGTTCCAGCTGCATAAGACGTACAAGACGTTCAGTGAGAACTCATGGGGTACATTTGGTGGCTCTGACATATTATATAAGGGAGCGGTATGGTGTCAGTGAGGTACACAGGGGGTGCCAACTAACCTTTTCATGAGGGGTGCAAGTGGCTGCCATATGAGAGGTCCTAGCCATGGTATGGGCTGTTTGTAGGATAAGGGGGGCACCTGGTTATATAATAGATGCTAGCAGTGGAAAAAAGGGGGGCTGATAGGTTTTTGAAAGGGGAGTGCACCTGGCAGTCCTATATGCTGGCCAAAACATTAGTTGCTAGCTGTGTGTTGGCTGGATGTGGAATGAGGGCACCCAGCAGTCATATGCAGGTGCTGAGTTTGAAATGTGGAAGGGCTTCTCTCATTGTGGAATAAGAGGTTGTCAGCTGGGAGTGTAAAAAAACCATCCTTGGGTCTTCTCCACCTGAAATTTACAGTGCAGCTCAGATCTCTGTGGTGCACACCTACCTCAGTTAGAAGTGCTTAAATAGACTGCTGGACACTGAGCCAGTGTCTGATCAACAGGTTAGTCTGTGTTTCCAAGCCCTGGATAAAGGTAATGTTTGGATTGTTTGTATGAAGGTTTCCTGTGCTATTTGCTGACTGACACCATTGATTTTCTCAGTGTCTTCAGTGTCCCGGGTTTAATACAGTCCTCATAACACTTCTAGTGAGATGTTTGAAGCAGGACTTTAAAAACATAACTATGTCAAATTCCAAAATTGCTGTTAATTTGTTGAAAGTGTACATTGTTTTTGGAAAAAAAAAAAGATGGAAGTTGTTTTTTCAGTAAACGTGTTTTTTTTTTTTTAATGATAACTGTGACTCCCTAAAGAATACGCTCCGCGCCGGTTTCTCAGATGATTATGTAATAATATTAGAAGCAGAGCGCAGCAGCAGTAATTATTTCTTTCCAAAATAATTGCATCACTTAGTGACATTTTATTTTGCTTTCAGAAATTAGTCGTTTGAAAAGAATAATTTATTGGCCTCTCTGAGACTAATTACCTTTAAATTATCAACAA